TCACTGGACTGCACCCCAGAGTCCTCGGATGCAGGGAGTGGGAGAGCAGGCCAGGCTCAGGGACTGTGAGCAGCTTCACTGGACTGCACCTCAGAGTCCTCGGATGCAGGGAGTGGGAGAGCAGGCCGGAGTGGAGGCCTGGGGCCAGATGATGAAGTTCTGAGGGCCAGGGGAGGGAGTCTGGGCTTTCTTCTTCTGTGGTTTGACGGCTTCTGGGAGGAACCATCAAAAGCTTTTCAGGAATTCGGGCTGTCTGTCTCAAGCATCTCCTTCTGGAAGACCAAGGGCCCAAAGTGGCAGCCTGACATTCAATCTCCTTTGCCGTGGTTGGGAAGCCAGGGCTGAAGCTGATTTCATTGGCCTGTTTTGCATTTATTGTAGTGTGGTTTTTATAGAGTGTTAATTGAAATATTTCCAACTGCCAAAAACAATTACACTCAAATTGCCTTGTCAGATCTTTTATTGCTGGATAAATATTTTACAGACATATTTATAGGGGACAGTGGTAACTGGATCTCATTTTCTATGTAAGGCTGGTGGTTTGGGTTGGGATTGGCCCTCCAGCACTGTGTTGTGGGCTGGAAAGCTGTTGGCCATTGTGAGCTTCCATCCCGTTACCTTAGGGATCAGAGGCTCTTCAAAGGAAAGCAGCTTTCTGGCTCATGTGGTTCAGTCTCAGAGAAGGGTTCCCATCACTGGAAACCTTGGAAACCTGGCAGAAATTTGAATCCTGCTACCCACCCTACCAGCAACAATCCCAATCCAAGTTGAGACATGCTTTTCTCTTCCCCTGGAATCCCTTTCCTCCCTTCTACCATCCAGGCCTTTCCTAAAGATCTTATCATGTGAGAGCTGTAAGAGCCCATCTAGTCTAACTCCCTCACCTTGCATTTGGGAAACCAATGTCCAGAGACTTCCCCAAGATGATATATATAAGTGGTCAATGACAGAGCTGGGAGCTGTATTAGTTCGTTTCTGCTGTTTATAACAAAATCCACAGAACTGGGTATTTTATAAAGAAAACAAAATTTATTGCTTACAGTTTCTGAGGCCGGGAAGTCCAAAGCCCAGGGAACACAGCTGATGAAGGCCTTGGTGGTGGCAACAGTGATGGCATGATATCACACTGCGAAAATGGCGGAGCAGAGAGAGCACAGAGTAACCTCCTCATTCACTCTCTTTTTAAAATCCTCAGAACCACGCCCCTGACCACCATTATTAATCCAATCACTACGGCACGGTCCTACAATCTAATCACCTCCCCAAGGCCCCACCTTTCAATTACCATCATAGGATTTCCCACCCTCCCAATAGTCACAGTGGGAGCCAAGTTTTTAATACATAAAACTTGGGGAACATAATTCAAGCTTCAGTGAGTTCGGGGGAACATTCAGTCCACTACAGAGCCCATCTAGTCTAACTCCCTCACCTGGCATTTGGGAAATCAAGCCCTAGAGACTTCCCCAAGATGAGATAAGTGGCCAGTGACAGAGCTGGGAGCAGAGGTCTCTTTCCAATGTGCCA